CCGACCAGTTGCTAAATGTGAAGCATTCCTTTCCCACTTTTTTGATGGCTTGTTTTCATGTTTGCTTCTGAGAAGCTTTAAAGGACTGCTCCCTGGAGACAGGAGCAAGCAGAGTCCTATAAGCATGTGGATGGGTGCTTAAAGTCCTCTGAACATGGTATTTTTGGACTACTTTAGAACCTACTTCATTTTTGGCCTTAGAAATATTTAGAGGAGGTGTGGACATGGTTATATTTCATAGTCTGCTGCCTAGATTTGAGTTTGCTTGCCATAGTTCCTTCAGATGGTTAAGCACCGTATTAAAGCTTTATGCGGTGAATGCCAGCAAGGGGATTTTTTCTGCTGTGCCTGGTTGTATAATATTTCTTGTAGTGCACAAGCTGAGCTAAGAAATTCTGCCCTTAATGCTGTTTGCAGGAGTACAGGAGACTGGACAGAAAGGAAACCAAGACTGAGTGGTGAGGCGCGTGTTAGGGTGGGAGAGAGAAAATGCATACAAATACTCTGAGTAAACAAGCTATGTAAGCATGTAAGACATTTGCACTCTCAGTCTAACTCTGGTGTAGTTCTGGAGAAGGTCTGAGTTAAGCAGCAAGGAGTCCTCTGGGGAGACTGGTGAGTGTCTCTCTGCCTGGACTGTATGCAGGGTATAGCAGAGCCCTAATAAATAGAGTGGGCAGTGGTAAACTGACAAACTGCTAGTCTAATGCAAATTGCTGCTTCATGGTCCTCTCCATATCTGAGTATGCTGAGGTTTGAGTCAAGATCTTGAGTGTACTTGTTGAGAGAGGTAAATTAACCATGAAAATACTGTTATTTTTCTGTATTAATCAACTTCTTCAGCTGCCACAGCATAGTAGGTGAAGAACACGGGTGAAGGAATCCATGTGGTGATAACTACTGTAGGATAAAGTTCCATGCAGAAGTTTCCCTCTGCCTAGGATATGTTCTAAGCCTGAAAATTTGAATGACAGAGGACACTAGGATGAGACAAGCACTTCCCTAAGCTCCTCAAGAGAGTGAGAATTTGCCTGTGTGTCTAACACATCACCCTCATTTGCAATCATGCAGTCTGATGGCTAGAAGCCATTGTAATGGCACAGGGCGTTTTGCTGGAGCTATTTCGAAGTTTGGTTTCATGAGAAATGCCCATGCTGTGTTTGCATCCTTTAAGGCCTGGGCATCTGCTCTTTGCCAGAAGTTCATTTGCATTCAAGATGGTTTTCGAGCTTGTCTGCCCCTTCTGGAACATGCCTCACCCTGTCCTTGGTTGCCAGTGGCTAAGAAGCCCAGATGAGAAGTAAGGACAACAGTCCTACGGTCTCACAGCTCAGTGCTGGAGTTCACATGGGTAAAACAGAGTGGAGTGTAACTGATGAGCAAAGCCGGGGGCACCACTCTCCATGTGGTGAATTGTTTTGTGCCTTGGTGGAACATACACCCTAACCCAAAATTAACACATTGCTGCGTCCACTTCATACACTGTATCCAGAGAGGCTGCACTGAGATGTCTCTCCATTCCCACTGTGCAGGACAAACCCTCTCTTCAGTGTCTCCATTGCTAGTCCATTACAGTACAGGTACTCTGCTGTTACTGCCATCTCCTTACGCTGTGATTTTGTTTGCAGAACTATGATTTTACACCTGCTTTTGATGTTACTCTATCACTCACTGACCAACCCGTAAGATTCTCTGATGCGTTTGCTAATTGACTTGCTAGTGCTTTTAAGAGTACATTTTGTGCTGCTCTGCTTTGAAAAACGTGCAGAAGATGTTGACTGTACTAAACATTGAGCACTTTGGGCTTGCTGAAGTTTTTGAACCGTGAAATAGTGTAATTAGTAGATAGTCTGTGGATCCCAGGAGGTGTTAGGCTGCTCTGTGTAAGTTGTTCACACAGAATGCTGCATGGTTTTTAGCTTCAGTTTTTCAGCAGTCCACGTTCCAGGGTGGTTGTGAATGGTTTCTCTGCTTTCAAGAATGCATGGCACTTCACCAGGGGTGCTGCCATAGCCTGTGTCTGAATCCAGCAGGTGGTGGAGTTAGTTTCACATGATCTTTCCATTCTGACAGCTGTTAGAAAGGCCTCCACTGGAACCCTGCAGGCAGGGTATTGTCTGTAGGAAAGATGTGAATTGCTCACAGAGAAACCAGATGAAAGCAAGAACTATGGAAGTCTAGATAGTCTGATTTTAAAAGTAGGATTTGTAGTTAGTCTGGATAGAAGAAGGATAAAGAGGGGAACACTTTCAGAAGTGGTCACTGGTAACTGTTTTATATATAAATAAAATAAGGCATGTAAAAGCTTGAATTGCAGAAAGGGAAGTTTAGATTAGGTGTCAGACCATCTTTCTAAATAGAGGGGCAAAGTCTGGAAATTCATTGGAACTCCAGTTTCATTGTAAATGCCAAACCCGTGTAGGATGTATCTGCAGAAGCCCAGCTGATCCTCCCTTGGAATGTGGATATGGAATGTGTAATTCTTGGGACCTCACCCAGGATAACTTTCCGAACAAAAAAAGAGAATGCAGCTTTGTTAGGCATGTTTTGTGGATCACGGTGAATTTTATAAAATGGAAAATGAGCATTCATTACATAGGGAAAACAGATGACACTGTTATAACTAAAACAAAGCAGATCTCTTATTTTCCCAGGGCTGTGAACAATAAGCACTTTCAAACCACTTCTTTTCTGTTTATCTCAGCTGTATTTTGTTGACTTTACAAAGTTATAGTTTACCTGTTCTCTTCTCCCAGTATGTTCACCCTGGGTCATTTTGAGGAACTCTTATTTCATCAGAGAAATGTGAGAACCCTCTTTGCCATCCCAAAATGGATTCTTATCTCCAAGGTTTCCACTCCTGGACTCCTCTTTCCCCATTTGAGAAGAATTTTGTTGCAAGGATCTTTTGTCCCTGTGTTTTCACCGCACTCACAGTTTGTCCTCACAGTTATTGTCTGTTAGGCAAACCTTGGAAAGAGCCTACATTCTCATGTGCTGCTTGTATTAGACAAGAAAAGTGAAGAAGAGTCATGCCATGAAAAAAACATCACTTTAGACATTCATAAAGCTTGAGAGCTTCCTTTTGTGTTCTTTTGTTCTTTGCTGATATTTTCAGATTGGACTGGAAATCTTAAACAGGAGAATTGTCCTTCCCTGTGAAGTTAGAAGTTGGCTAGGGCAGGAGGTTGTGACCTGAGCAGACATGGTTCAAGCATGCTGAGCCACTTCCTCGAGAGCCTCGTGTAGTTAGACTTAGTGAAACTCGGTGTCTTGTGGAAAGTGCTGCATGGTACATTTTACTTGCAGTGTTCATTCCTGCAGTGTGTCACGGCAGACAGGTGAAAAAGTATCACTGATACACTGAAATGTGCTGAGAAACTGCGTTAATGTCTTGCCTGATGGAGAGAGGCCAAGTGCATTCTAAAGGGACTGTAGCACTCACCTTGGATGAGCTGCTGGTGCACACAAAGCTAGATGTGACAGCGGCCAGCCGGGATAAAAAATAAGTGGCTGTGTATCTCAGAGAGCCAAACCAACGTGGCCTTAGTAGGGAAGCTTGGTGGTGCCAGTGGATCCCTTCCTGAGCCACTCACAGCTGGCACAGCGTTGAGAAAGGCAGTTGGTAAACAGGTGGCATAGATACTGGTGTCCAGGTTTGTCTGGTCTGGTACCAGTCAGGCTTCTTCAGCCTGAACAAACTCAGGCATTTGTGGGAATTGGGTGGTTCTAAGTGCCCTTTTCTCTCCTGCCTGCAGCTTGGATGATGACAATGACCTGGGCCATAATCCTGCTTACCTCAGCAAGGCATGCACTGAATCCATTTGTATTCTTCATTTGGCCCAGCTGTGAGCTGTATTTCCAAGGCTAACTGCAGATCTTTCCCAAATGCCATGGGATGTGGAACTTCAGTGCCAGCCAAGTCAGCTGTATGACAAGCCATGCAATAAAAGCCAGGTGCCATCTCATGGAGACTGTGGGCATTTTCAGATGAAGGTCATCGCTAGATCTGGGAAGTATGGGGCTGGAGAAGCATTCAGATGGACTGCCCTCCTCTGATAAATCTGGGACCCTCTCCACTCTTGGCTTGTGGCTGCTGGTGGAGAGTGGAGAGCAGAGATGAGGGGGAGCTTGGGGCTGACACTTTGTAGGAGATTTGTTAAAGCCCCATGGATTTGTCCTATAATAACTTTTTACAGTGAGTCAAAGGTGAGATAGGGAAAAGGAGATTTGGCAGCAACATCAACACTATGGACACTGTAAGATTGGAAGGCAGCTCTCCTGGGCTGATGGCAGACTTGAAGCTGCTCTAGGTAGGAGGTGGCTGTCACTGGAGGTATGGGGCAAATTGACAGGGAGTAAAGTAAGACGGGATGAGTAGGTACTTTGATACAGATGGTGTTTGTGGGGAAGTGGCTTTTATAAAGTGCCCGTGCTTGCAGCCACAGGTTCTCTGCAGTGCTGGTAGTGGTGCCATCCTGCCAGAGGCCTGAGTGGCTGTGACTTGGTCTGGCTGAGCCTTGAGGGTCCCCTGCGCCCCCTGTCCCAGTGCTGCAGCACTCATCCCGGGAAGTTTCTCCAGTCGTAGTCTCAGGGTACTTTACAGTGGCCTGGATCCCCATGAAGATGCGTACACATCTTCTGGAGTTTCCCAAAAGGCGATTTGCCGAGGTGTTTGGCTCCGCACTGTGAGGGAAGTTGCCATGGGACACAAGGCAGGCTCCTTCAGTGTATCTGAATCGTTAAAAAGCAGGAAAGACCCTTTGGAAGCAAACGCTGCCCTTGCTGCCGCCCTCCGCAGCGCCCACGCTGCCCCGGGGATGGACGGTGCGCGTTTGCCACCCCAGGTGCGGGCGGAGGGTGAGGACCAACCCAACGCCGACCCGGGGCGGGGGCTGAGCCGGGAGCAGCTGTTCTCGGCCGGGAGGGGCGGCGGGGCCGGCCCTGCTGAGTGACGGCCGGGCCGGGGCCGCGGCCGGGGCTGGACCCCCGCCCCCGGCAGCGGCGGAGCCGGCGCGGGCAAGGACGCGCCGCCCGGGCTCGGCTCAGCTCAGCTCGGCTCAGCTCAGCTCGGCTCGGCTCGGCTCAGCTCAGCTCGGCTCGGCTCGGCTCGGCTCGGCTCGGCTCACAGGTGCGGTAAGCCTGCGGCGGCGTGGTGGGCCCGGCCCGGCGCGACCCATATCTGGGCAGAACGTTTGTCCGGCACCGGGCGGCACCAGCTCGGCATAAAGAGCGACCGCTGCCTCCCTAATTACGCCGGACAGGGGGGACAGACTGGGTGTTGGGCCTCCCTCTCTCCCTCCCTCCATGCGTGCATGTCCGTCTGCCTCTCTCTGCCTGCCTGCCAGCACACTTGCCTGCCTGCCGGGAGCCGTGCCCGGAGTCGGGTGCGCTGCACCGGGATGCGCGGAGCCGGCGGCGGGCGCTGCGGCAGCCGGGAGTCCCCGGGATGAGGGCGGCTGTGTCCCTCGACAGGAGCAGCCGGAGTCCCCGGGATGAGGGCGGCTGTGTCCCTCGGC